TCTAAGGCCCGACATCCGCAGAGCAATTCGCAGACTCCCGGATCCTAAAGACTTTGAAACCGCACTCGCAAATGCTGAAAAGGATCAAAGAATTCTTGAACAGGAATATCGCGAAGAAAAAGAGATCCTGGAAAGCATAAATAATTTGGTGTTAGATGCAAAAGTGGACGAATTAACTAGCCAAGTAAACAGCCTTCAGCAGTCAAGTAGAAATCCCTCAAATAGAAATCCCTCCAGAAGTCCTACCCGAGACCGTCCTCGTCCCACGGTACGCTTCAATGTGCCCCCGCGCCAGAATACAAATTTTCAGCAAAGACGATCGCTAACCCCATACCGTCCCAGGACAGGAACTTACGTAAACCCACCACGTCGACTCCGCTTCGTTCCTAGACGAGTTTTTCCAAACCCTAGATTTTGGAACCGCCGCCCATTCAACCCGTTTCGCAATTTCAATCAACCCTATGTTCCATATCCTCCATATGCGCAGCAGTCGCCTTATGTTGGTCCCAATCAACAACTAGTACCACCAGTAACAAACGCTCCGCAGCAATACTATCAAGCCTCAAACCGCCTTCCTTCAGCTGCACAAAATGTAAATTTCCTTTGCATACTAGCAATCATAACAGCTTGCCTCATAACCCCCGTAGGAACATTCCAAATATGTGGCAGCAGTTCATTTCCCAACGTACTTTCGCTTCCGAAACTAGTGCAATGCAGAGTAACAACAGAAGAACCAATGATTGAAATCAACATACAATTATTCGGCGAAACCAACAAACCCCTGCAGATAACGGCGTACAAATGTTATCGAGATGTAATCAAAGTTTCTATACACAATTTCCTGTATATTAGAACTAGACGAACTGTAGTAGGCCGCCAGCGCATATCTCTCTCACAAGAAGATTGCGAACTAGCCAAAACTACCAACGCCATTCATGGTCACCCTTTGATCGAGGTCTCACCTGGGCTAAAAACAACTGACGAAATAGAAGATGAGAAAGCAACGCTACCTTTTTGGGGAACAAACTTGTACTTACGTAGTCTATATTCCATCGAGGAAGGACAAATAGCCACCCTTAATGGCGAAACCATGCTCAGCACCCTGGGAAACCTTAACAACTGCTCTCTTTCCCAAGGTGTCTGTCTGACACCCAATGAGATTATAATCTGGGAACCCGTATCTGTTGCCCCTTGGTGTAGATACACTGCAATTGGTAACTATGACGCGCTCGTCAGCATGAAATTCATCCTCATTCCGGAACACGAATTAGCTTTCGAATTTAGTGACAACCACATGCTTCGCGCCCAATTGTTGCAACACTGCACCATAACTAATAGCTACTTGACTACCTCCAATCATATTATTTCCTTCCCCAACATACCATCCAATACTATGGTCCAAGACTTCATTCTGGAGAGCTCCTATAATTTCAAAAGGAAACGCGAAATCAAATACCTCACAGACACAGAGAACAGGCAGTCTCGGTACGAGCTAGTGCCCCCGCAGACCTTACCCATAGCCGAAAGAATTTTCGGTAGCACAGATTTCCAAAAAATTGCCGCCTTTCGAGACCCAGCCTATAACGGATATTCTTTTATTGCGAGAAATCAAACTTTGGAACATCACGAATGCCGACTTTCTCCGTAGAAGCCGTATGTATGAAATCGAAAATATCCGTATAAACACTCTCTGTACTATTCGGTACGCCGAGTATCGCTATAGGCAAATCGCCTGGCTCAGATCCATCGAAACTAAAAGACCTTTGAACTATCCAGAGCGCTCTTACAAGACCTCGAACAAGGCATCACCGACGTCTTCGATAAGTATCTGTCCGACGAATTTGGAATATTAAAATCAGATATTAACAGCGACCCCGCCAACCTTAAGGGAAAACCCTCACCATACTTCCAAGCAAAAGATTTGGAGAAAGTAAATGTAACGAACCAGATAGAAGCAGATCCATTCGCAAGCATAGAACGGGAACGACTAAAAAGCACCACTCCCCACCCGTCGACCATTGCCATTTCGACCGCGAAGACGATCACAAAATTCCCCACGACAATAACAACCACTTCCAAAACCACTACCTCTACGACCACAAAGACAGCACCAACTACCTCTACACTGTCTCCCATCACCAGGTCACCCGTAATCATACCGCCAGTACATGTAATCCCGGAGACCAAATCACTCAACCCGATTGGCTTCTATACAACGACGACGACCAAACCAACCACCACTACGATGCGAGTTACTACAACAACCGCCGCTACTACTGTCACAGCAATGCCAAGTACAACAAAAACGTCCACAACTAAATCAACGACTACTGCGAAACCAACTACGACATCTTCGACCGCCCTTCCTACAACACCAGTCAGAGGCAGCAAACAGACGACTCCTCCAAGCATAACGACGACTACGACCGTGCCACAAACAAGTACAGTTCCTGTCAAGATTTTGAGTTACGAGAAGCTAATACCTTTGCCCCCGTCCGAACCCGTACTTCTACCTCTACATAAACAAAGCAAACGGACGAACCATGTCTCTTCGCCAAACTCAGACGACAACCGCCTGGATCCTGCGAACATCCGACGCGAACTCAACAGCATATGCGTGAGGCAATACCTTAATAACCAAAAACTTCACGAGCTTAGCCATGCCGACCCCACTTGGGCAGCCAGAACCTTATTGGGAACGTCAGACGTGGTAGCCACTCTTACTGACAACGAGCTTCTGGTCTCCAGATGCAGAAAGGTGGAGCCAACAGAAGTGCACTCAAACCACCAAGTGAACCAAACTTGCTATGAACTGTTACCAGTCCTAGTGGAAGAACAATTATGGTTTGCTATACCAGGAACGGGAGACCTAGTTCAATCCGCAACAGAAACGCCCTGCCCCTACATTACCAACTTGAATGGACAGATTCAGCCCATGCTACCACCTAACATGCTTCTCAGCGATAATGCACAACCTTTTATATTCAACTCTCCACCTATTTACCACCACATTATGAAAAGCTATGCTCCCACTGTAAGATTTCAAATCGACGCTCTGCAGCAAGAATATCTCACCCTACAAAACAGATTACAAAAACGAGGTATCATAGACGATGCACTCCTTCAAATCAAAAATGTTAAAAACTCTATAGGCGATTCTCTAACCTCAATTTATGACAAAACGACCAGCAAACTCACAAACGGCATAGAAAGCATATGATGGTCCCTCATATCATTGCTACTATGGATCACCATACCCGCGCTAGTAGGAATAATATGGTTGCAACATGCATTTGCTGTGTAAAATTGTACTTTATACGAAAAGCATCCAGTACCGCCGCCTCAGCCATGTTTGAACTAGCAAGTAATTTCACGCCAAAAAGGCGCATACGCAATCGACCGGAAGTCAATGCCCTATTTACCGAGCTACCCTCTCGAGAACCTCTTTTCGTCCCCCGAATTTATGCAATACCGTTCGCAACAAATCACGTTCAAAACCCGCTACCATATGTTAGAATAAGTTTAAACCACTTATCCACCCCAGCTCTGATCGACAGCGCCGCTACGATTTCCTATATGAAACAATCTACCTTATATGCGCTAGGTCCCAACATAACAATAGAAAACAATAATGTCAAAGCACAAGCAGCTAATGGTTCTCCCATAGAACTTTTGGGATCAGTAAATGTAAATGTAAACATAGGAACACACAGCGTACCTCATCGCTTCCTAGTGTCGCATGATCATCAGTGCCCCGCACCCGTCCTCCTCGGCACTGACTTCATCAAAAAAATTGAACCAGCAAGGCCTGAAAATAACCATCGATTTACATAACAACTTACTCACTATAGGCAGCGATTCACATAATGTGATCCAAATCAACGCAATTAATTTTTTGGAAGTAAAACCGCAAGACGTGCGCCTTTTGCATACTATTATCCTGCCGAAAAGATCTTCCTCCATTGTACCAGCCTTTATCGACAACTATTCCCTTTATTAACCCATTCGACTTTATTATCGAGGATAATCAAAGAGAAATAGATCTTCTGTATGTAGTAGGCAGAACCCTAATTCGCCCATCTAATGATGGGTTATGTCTTATAACTATATTAAATCCTTCCTATACAGACATTAAGCTATATGAAAGAATGAGAATAGCATATGCAACACCTGTATCCTCTCCAGTCGAACAGATATTAGCTATACAGAACGAGTACATTCCGCCGGAAGCGGACTGGGAACAAAGAATTCCTCACTTTCCACTTCCAACGAATACTAGCTATGATATAGCTAAAGAAATAGATTTAACAAAATCCGCCCTAACATCGCAACAAAAAGACCAACTAGTAGACATAATACGCCATCATTCTAAAGCCTTCGTTGGTCCTGATGGCCACTTAGGACACTACAACGGACCAATTCGGCATCGCATAGATCTCATAGATAATGCTCCTATACCCACTAGGAAAATCTACCGGGTACCGCTGGAGAAAAGGATTGAGATCGAACAGCAAATCACCCAAATGTTAAAAGACGGAATTATCCGTGAATCAGCCTCTCCATTCTGTGCCCCTATAGTCTTAGTACGTAAGCGCGATGCCACCTCTTGGAGAATTACCATCGACTTCAGAGGGCTTAACGCTATAACTAAGCCTCAACAATCCATCCTTCCTAACATTCAGGACATTATCGATCTATGTGCAAATAACTGTCTATATTCTTCACTTGATTTTCAGCAAGGATTTCATCAGATCCCTTTGGAAGAGACGCACTGCGAAAGAACAGCCTTCGCATGCTTCCTTGGAGCATTCGAGTATATACGGATGCCCATGGGACTCAAAGGAGCCCCCGCGACTTTTCAAAGAATAATGGACGAATTTAAGAAACACTTGAGAGCCCGCGTTTTCATCTACATTGATGACTTAATTATTACGTCAGAGACGCCAGACGAACACCTTACTGACATAGACGAAGTACTAACCAATATAGAAGACATCGGAATGAAACTAAAAGCATCAAAGTGTGAATTCGCGCGCAAAGAAATTAAGTTCCTTGGCTTTGTATTAAGTAAAGAAGGCATAAGACCTAACCCGGAAAAGACCAGAGCAATTGACGACTACCCCACAAATAGAAACCCCACAGACATCAAAGCTTTCCTAGGCATTTGCTCTTTCTTCCGCAGATTCGTACATAATTTTGCAGCGATTGCTTCACCACTTACAGCACTAACAAAGAAAGATGCACCTTTTATATGGACCGCCGAATGCGAAGACGCTATGAGACGCCTGAAAGAGGCGCTCACCACAGCGCCGATCCTAGTTGCCCCTACGCTAGGCTTACCATTCGTTATAGAAACCGATAGCTGTGGAAAAGCCGTCGCGGGAGTTTTAAAGCAAGAACAAGACGAACACTTGAAAGTAATTGCTTACGCTAGCAGAACTCTAAATGTCCATGAATCTCGTTACCCCGCCATAGAACTGGAGGCGCTAGGTGTAGTATTTGCCGTACAGAAATTCCGACCATACATTGATGGCGCACAATGCACCGTTATCACCGACCACGCCCCTCTTAAAGCACTCCTCCATAGGAAAGATTTGACCGGAAGATTAACAAAGTACCAAATAATTTTGTAAGAGTTTGATATAACCATAACTTACAGACCCGGAAAAGCCAATGTTGTGTGCGACACACTCTCGAGACATCCTCCCCAAGTAAATGCCACTCAAACAGGCACAAACACAGAAAGCACTATTGATCTTTCCTCGCCAGATATCATTGACAGCATTAAAGAAGAACAAAACAAAACACCCTGGATCGCATCCTACAAGCAAGCTATCGAAAACGATGAGCCAAATCCTTACGTTAGAGACTACATTATCCTGAATGGTATCCTTTACAAACTTCCAGAAAAGGTTTATCAGGATCCCCAGATAATACTTCCAGAAGACTCTGACATCAAAAACACTCATCAAGCAAGTGCATGAGTCTCGCTTCGGTACTGCTCATTTAGGTGTACAGAAAACCAAAGCCGCGATAAGCAAGATAGCTATTTGGAATAGAGTGTCAAGTGACATCAGCGACTTTGTCCGATCTTGCACCATTTGTCATCTGCGAAAGGACCCCTCTGTCTACCGCACCAACGAGCCGCTGGACAGATGTCGACAAATACGATTCCTGTCGCCTCCGAACGTATTAATCGCAAGAGATCCCGCTCGTCATCGTCATCCAGCTCTCGTCGCAAGCAACAATCACCTACGCTATCTTACTATCTCTCTCTCTTCTTCTTCTTCTTCTTCTTCTTCTTCTTCTCCTTCCACCTCTCCTTCCCCTTCCTTAACTCGCTATCTTCTTTCTACTCCCACTCCTGATATCGCTATGAGTTTAGATGTAACATCTCCAAATAATAACCCTTCTCCTGACATCCTCCTCGTTGTACCTGCAGAATCCGATGTGAATTCGATTGTATCTCATTCTGTTTCATCTCCTTCCCAAGTTAACGACTCTAACAATGCCACAAATCCTTCGCAAGGCACCAATCCTCCATATGTTAATGATCCTGACAATACAACTATCCTTCCAGAAATCACAACCTCCCAAGTTAACAATCCTAGCATTACCGCAAATCCTCCGGAAGGCATCACACCTTTCACAATAACTATCCACGTGCCAACACAAGCCTCCCAAAGCTTCTTACGCCGGAGGGTACTCCTTACCACGCCCAAACCTCCTCGTAAATTGCGCACTATCGCACCACCACAACCGCGCGATTGGGAGAAACCTCTTGGAGCCATCCCCAGCTTACTCAAACTATGTCTCTCTCCCCGACCAGAGCCACACGAACCCCAGTACTACTATCGCTTAAAACACAATTATCGTGGACCTACTCAGCGACGCTGTTTTAACCCAATCCCGGCACCTCTATGCCTTCTCTGCAGCCAAAGTACACATCTTACGCGGTACTGTCAATCACCCATGCCCTTCCATAAAAGAGCCCGCATACTTCTTCACAGATACAGGCTCTGTCCTCGCTGCCTCGAGAGCCATCCCCTAAAAGAATGCACAAAGAACCCAGTGTGCTTCCGTTGTAACGCCACTGGCCACGTCACCGCCATTTGTCAAGATGCCCCTGTCACATTCTTTTAGTCCCGGGGACCGGGACTTTCCGAAAGAAAATCATGTAGGAAAAGCGCTAATAACGGTAATGCGCTATTGGTCCCTGCACTCTTGCCCCGCCCCTCGCCAACTATATAAGCAACTAAACCCCGCCCTCAGAGAGAGAGAGAGGGAGGCACTGAGCTAGCCGGCTCCGGCCGGCTCAGCGACATATAATCATCAACCCATTTTTATCTTTGTCTTATGTGTATCCCATTTCCTCATTACTTTCCTTCTATATATATGTTCTTTGTACTCTCAAGTTTCCCTATACTCTTAAGTCTCTAGTGATGTAGTTTAAACTCTATTTCACATCCTAACTCTGTTTATAATTGCCTGATAAATGCTTAGTAAGAAGTCTAGTTGGGTTTTATATATGCCGGTGGAGAGAATAGGAAGTGAGCGTCACTAAAAAGTCCAGTAACGGTACCACTCTTAGCTTAACGACAACCATAAACCATAAATTCGTTACACATAATGCAGCAGACATTAATTCTGTGCGCCTTTTGCAGCTGAACAAAATATTCGCTTACTCTGGCACCTACCTTAGCCTTGCTTGAGCTGCAGGTCCCGCGCAGAATTAACCTTAATTCTGTGCGCCTTTTGCAGCTGAACAAATATTCGCTTAGTCTGGCACAGAAAAAGTTAAATGCTCAAAATAACATACCGTAACCTGCGTCCTTTAATAAGCTGGAGCACGTTTTCATGTAGGGACTTGCGATATGCGACAAAATGAGCGCATAGGAGATAGACGCATTGAACGGATGGATTCATGACTGTTTGCTGCACATTTCATTGGATCATTAGCTAGTAGGATACAAAACGTTTAGATAAGATGTATTCTTGCCCAACGTGGTCCCTACACAACCTTTTTCTACGACAAATATCAGAAATTCCATGCATCTTTTACAAGAAGGAAAAAATGGTTATTTGTAACGAATTTTGAAGCCCTGCAGGTTACGGAACGGCACTGCAACACTAAAAGTAGACATTGGGATGGAACACAAACACTTCTAAGCGTGAAATTTTCCGAAGCTCTCGAAGTTATTGTGAACACTATCCATCAGCTGCTGAGGAAGTTAATAAACTTCCCCCTGCATTCAGATAAAGGTACAGCAAGTTCTTGCACATAAATGTAGTTGTTGGAATTGTGGTTGCAACTATAAATCTACACAAATAAAGTAGAAAGAGACCCTACACATCTATATAAAGCAGTGTACGATTGAGAGAGTGGCAACTAACATAGCCGAAACACTGGAAAATCACGACTTTCATTGAGAGTGAGAGGGCCGGGAGCATCGCTTTCTTAGCCCTTCAAGGCAATGCACGCAATGAGGTCCACAACGCGGCATGAATGATCAAACTCATTGTCATACCATGAAATAAGCTTGACAGCTTTCAAAATTGGGGTTGAGAGAGATGCAAGCTTCCGCATCGAAGATTGAAGAGTTGCGGTCACCGACGAAGTCACTCGACACGACCTGATCCTCTGTGTATCCCAAGATACCGTTCACTGGACCCTCAGAGGCTGCCTTGATGACTTTCTTATTGTCATCCATTGAGGCCGCTTTCTCCAGACGGCACGTGAGATCGACCACTGAGACATCAGGAGTGGGCCATTCCAGTAAATTCTCCGTTCAAAGCGGATAACCTTGCCAGCAGCCTTGGCAGTAGATGCAAGGATAATATTCTAGCCTGCACCAGGTCCATCACGATAGTGCTTTCCAGATGGGCCATCGACTGTTTTCTGCGTTGCCGTGGTGGCGTGGACGGTAGTCATAAGTCCTTCGATGATTGTGAAGTTGTCGTTGATAACCTTAGCAAGTAAAACAAGACAGTTGATGGTGTAAGAAGCATTACTAATAATGTGGTTTCTGGCAGGATCGTACTTTTCGAGGTTTACACCCATCACGAACATGGTGCATCTGCAGATGGAGCTGAGATGACTACTTTTTTAGCGCCTCCTTTCAAGTGAGCAGATGCTTTCTCGATGGTAGTGAATACACCCACAATGATTTGAGCTTCATTGGTTTTTCAGCGCCCTGAAGTTCGTACTAAACTTTAGTGGGTCCTGCGAAGAAGGCCTGTGCGGCGGAACCGAGTACTGTATGTTATTTTGAGCATTTAACTTCTTCTGTCTGGCACCTACCTCTAGATTGTGGTTCACTGCATTCAGGGAATAAAACTTAGGCGAGTTGTGCATTTTGCTTCCCTTGGATTGGTTGCGTACCTGGAACCAACGCCAACGCACTCAGCAGAATCGGGGTAGATAGGCGCCAAACGGGTGTAGGGCGTTAGGCAACAAATCCAATTTTTTGGACCCCAAAGAACTCCCCATGCAAAACGTCTCCTCCGCCAAAAACAGGGGGGCGGGGGTCGGGGTCGATACATTACCCGACGTCAATGAAAAAATGGTGCATAGTTTTGAGTTACGGAATTTAGATACGTTGCTTGCGTTTTGCACGTTTTGTCGCCTAACGCTTGCCCTCCGCGCCAGACTAGCCGATCGTCCTGCTTCAGCAGGATACGGCGCAATCACTGTCGTTTGGTGTCATGTTGGAGGAAAATTGAGTCGGCGTTCGCGATTTCGCTAGCAAACATTTTTTCAGTGGTAAGACCTTTTTATCATTTTCTCATACTGCGAGGCTTTTTAACCATCTCTCCAGAACTACTGTCGTTGCGAACATCGCAGACGCCACTGCAATCGGGTAGTCTGGCGCCTATCGGAAGTCGCCGAAAGGAGTCTTGCGCGGACAATTGTGACAAACCACGCGCCCTCATCGTTGTTGCCTCATGCTAGCTGTCCGCATGTGTGGAGCTTAGGGCGTCTACTATAGCAACGGTATTTAAAAGATAATATGGATGTTCTAAGACAATCTCCGCGAGGTCTTTTTCTCTTCACAGCATTTTTGCTCAGCGCTGCTCTCCTTTTCTACCAGTAAAGAAACGCAAATGTGTTCCTAGCACGATATGGCAATCTTTCCTTGCGATACGGGGCGAAGTTGCGGCGCGGACGCGAGGTATTCCAATTTCAGGCTATGCGTTGACAGACTGTGGCCGGTGGCTCATGCATCAGCGTGGGTTACCGCGGTCGCCGCTTGTGCCTTAGGCACGCGCCATACTTGAGCTTGATCCACTGGATCCGCTTCATCCATTCCACTATTGGTCAGTTCATTGAATTGACCAATGGCGAAGTGGATGAAGCGGATGAAGCGGATCAAGTATGGCGCGTGCCTTAGGCTGCGTTCATACTGATCCCAAAGTTCAGTAACAGTTCCAGCTCAGTTCGAGCACTTTGCTGGAACTGTTTCCGGACTTCGGGATCAGTAACGCAGCCTTACGCTGCGCTCGCTCATTTTCATCTTTCCATTACGTTACGGTGCCTCGCAGACCTGGCACCATGTGCACAAATATGCTAGTGATGTTCAGAATTCTTCTGCCAGTCGCAGTCAAAGCTGGAAGCAGAGACGTTGAGATAATGCGTGGTTACGAGGTGGGTGTAAAATGAGTATTTGATAATCTTATCTCATCACCTTATCTTAATCTTTTTTCTCTCTTATCTTCTTTTTAATTCATACATAGCATGAGCTATTGTGATTGTGGTATGCTGTTGCACATAGTACCTACATACAAAAGCTCTTCAGCGGTAATGGTAATCCCTTAAGGATTTGGCCATACATCCTTAACTGTGTTACCAGCTATGGTTACTTACCTGTTTTACTACTGAAACCGGTGTTCGTTGCAACCGCTCTTACCGCTTTACCGGCGTGCTGTTTTTTCGTTCGCGATCCCGTCGGCTGACGTCTACTTTTCTTTTTATATCACGAAGTAGAAAAAAAGGCAGACGTGTAGTCGAGTAGATTTGGGTTAATTCAGTGTGTTCGCGATGCCGCCTATATCACACTGCAATAACGGTAGGGTTACATTGAAAAGAATCACGGTGATATATATAAGCAACATTATCACACCGCTATCACTGGTAACGCCGGTAATAGCGAGCAGCGGTAATGTGTGACGGAAACCTACTGCGGCAGCCGAGCTGCCTGTAAGGCAGTATCAGTTACCTATCATGAAAAAAAATCACGTTTTGATCACGGCTGGATTACTTTTGCATGTACTTGCGTTTAACTAGCCTTTCTTTTGACCGTTTAGGTTATAACGAAAATCTTTTACCTTTCAAGTTCTAACGAGAGCAGCTTGTGCCTTAGTCTCAATCTTTTTCAGAGTGTTCGGGTGCCGACTAACCACTTGAAACCAAGTAATTATGAGCGACTTTGTTGGCATCTGGAGTCTATGTGAGGCTTTTACGTTGGTTTGCTTTTATCTAGTCAAAAATTGTTGTTCAGAGCATTCCATGCTTCACTCCTTTGGTCACGTTGGCTGTGGTTTCTGACTCCAGTGAACATTAGTCGCATGGGTTTCGCGGTGATCGTGATTGCTGTTCTTCGGCAAGGTTTTATACAAATTCAATACGGCGTTCTTACAGAACTAAGATTTGCTGAACTTTCAGCGATTATGCGTGATGCTGTGCCGATGGGTGGATTAGTGCGATATGAGACTAGCATGGATTCGATTCAAGTGATGGACTCACGACTTGCGCAGTTTGAAAAGCGGCAGGCAATGTGGCAGGTTCGATTCCATTTTGTATATTTTGGCTACTGGAGTCAACAAACTTGTGTAACATTGCTTTTCAATCATATAGAAAATTCTCACTCACATATCATGTCCAGTAGAGTAGTCGGACGAACTAGATTTGTCTTCTCAATAAGATTGGTTAACCTCACTTTTTTCAGAATCACCATGACTTTAACTTCCTTGTTTGGGAAGTTCGGCCATACATTACCGCTGTTACCGGTATGATGTTACTCTGCTGCCTCTGGTACTAGCGTTACCATTGTTATAATTGTTCATTGCAACCGTTCTTGCCATTGTTACCAGCCTCTGCTTTGAAAGAATGAGAGGCTTTTTAACACGTTTCGGACCGCGAAATCGCGCGCGGCGAAAAAGAGTGTACTTTCAGCAGTTAGCCAACAAAAGGACCTTATTTCGCAGATTGTGGGCTAGATCTGTGATCAGCATGTCAAATAAGCTCCATATCTGAAGTTCTGAGTGAATTTGAAGTGTTTGAATTTTGTCGCTTGAGAGGGACTTTCGTGCTGTATTGAAAAATAGGAACAAGAACTCAGTTTCAAATAGCATTTAAAAGTATCTGTGTTGTACACTGTACACATCATTATTGAAACTACAGTTTTTCTCTTTGAAATCCAAGCAAAGAAAAGTTGCGACGTCGCACGCGTCGTTCGCGTTGCCGCAATTCGTTGCAACTGTTATTCGATTTATCCCTCTCTTATATATAAAGCTGAATGTCTGTTTGTCTGTATGTATGTATGTCTGTCTGTCTGTGTGTACGTATGTTCCGAATAGAAAATTCCATTTCTGAACCGATCGGGACCAAACTTGGCACACATACACTTCGGGTCCCGGCGGGTGTCATAGGCTACTTTTCGTCATCGATCGATATCGATTTTATCGATTTTTTGCAAAATTTGAGCTACGGGGCTGGGAGTTGGCACAGGGGGTAATCGAGCATGCTGATCACCCCCACGGGAGCATGCTGATCACCCCCGTGGGGGTGATCAGCATGCTCGATTACACCCCCCTGCCAAATTCCAGCCCCCTAGCTCAAATTTTGCAAAAAATCGATAAAATCGACTCGATCGATAAAGAAAAGTGGACTGTGACATCCGCCGGGGCCTGAAGTGTATGTGTGCCAAGTTTGGTCCGGATCGGTTGAGAAATGGAATTTTCTATTTGGAACATACGGCGGAGCCGGGTAAGCCAGCTAGTATCTTCTAAACAAATATCGGCGGCACAGCTCTATAGAGTCATTTGAAAAGTAGGAGCTTAGACCTTTGACATAATAACCTTGGACTAATGGAAAACCTCCTGTAAACGTCAGAAAGATACTTCAAAACAGCGTGCTGCATCATGTGCAGCATTGGTCCAAAACGTGTTAATTTTATTTTCTCCGCTTGCAATCCCGCTGTTTGATGATTATCTTTTTCTGTACAGCAGAAATATAATATAACGGGTCTTGTAATAAAAAGACAGACGCAACTACCAGTCAGCATCATTGCAAGTAAATTTGAGTGCAATGCCAGTCAGTCACATTCAGTCAAAGCGGCGGGAACAAAGCCAAGAGCGTTAAGCGTTAACAGTGGCCAGCGGTAATGCATGACCGAAGAGCCTTCCTAATATCATAGCAGTCTAAATTGCTCTTCACTGCATTCCATTGAAAGCCTTTCTTAAAACTACTGAACGAGCGTGCTGCCACAACGTAGCACCTTTTCCTTCCTCCATTATTACTCACGACATGATAGATGCTCAATGCTTGCATTTTTCAGCTTGTTTACGAAGAGAAAATACAGGAGATGGAGAAGTCATTGCGCGCATCAATCTCAGCGATACGTGAGGAGGTTCAGAAAGCAGTTGCTGAAGTGGGTTCATAAGAATTCCAAGCATAGGCAGAGTTTTATCTAGTTTAGCTGCATTCTGAAGTTGACAAACGCCAGACTGAACATGAAAATGAGGCAGCAGTAATGACAGAGGAGCTGTCATCACTACAAAAACAAATGTCTGACAGCCTGAATGCAGTGGAAAACCGTTTGTCCAATCAGCTGGCCGAGTTAGAAACTAAAATCAAAGTCGCGAGAGAGCATATGCGAACGCTGAGTACCAGAAACTCTTCGAAGTCTAATAATGGGACTAGCACTAATACCGCAATGAGGAGGCATGCTGTGAATTTGGCCAGCAGATCACATGGTAATTTGTTTTTTACGGGCCTTGTCTCAGATGGGTTCTTTTTGCAGGTGCGACTATAGTAAAAGAGTTGACTTCGAAAGCAAGTTCTTCCAAATCATTGTTACTGAATTTGGTCGATACTATTTTCCCACTGGAAACATATAATTTTGCTATCACGGTAAGTGTTGCATTGCCTTATCTTTGGACGGAAGTCTCTTACCTTTTGCTATCTCAATATAACCGAATGGAATTTAGCATTTTTGGCTACAGAATTTGTGGAAATCACCCAAGAATAAAAATCTAGACTCAAACTTTTATTTTCACTACCGCTCACTTGATACGATGCGATTATTTTTTTTTATCCTATCAAACTGTCCTTAGTTTTTCTGAACCTTAGGAACGCACTCACATCACACCTTCGGAAGCTTATTGTTTTGATGGTTCAAAAGGAACGCTAACGATCCGACTTTGGGCTAATGCTACAGTGGAAGCTGTCGAGTACGAACATGACTACTGGCGTGACGTCGTCCCTATCAGTGCACCGGATCGGTATGATGTTATGGTGAGATTTCCGCACCCTTCTCACCTTTGTTTAGAAGCTTTCTTATAATCATTTTTTGCGCTGCAAAAACGTCTTTGCTTTTGATGTATTCGTTTGCAAAACACTCAGAGGCACGTAAGGAGATGGACGTGGTCAAGAGAAACATTATTTAATCTTGCATCCCAATGAAATAAAATAAAATCTTACAGGCTTGCCTGGACCATGATTGCCATAAGAAAGCTGTGCTGGGTAAATGTCGTTATCCAGTTGATGAAAAAGCTGGTCCTGCACAGTCTTGTGAAATGCAGGTTGGGAGAGTCATTGAATTTCTTGAAACAGTGAGCTGCATCTACATTGATATTTCTTCTATCATAACAATCGTAGATGGAGTAAGTAAAGTATGCTTTGTTGAAGCAAAAATCACGGAGTAGCTGTTCTTTCCACCCCACCCCTCTAATTTTGCTTCTAAAGTTCCTAGCGCGTTCGTCGGTGACAGGTAGCTGTCGCTAGAAACCGGGAGTCGCCGTGGCATACCCGCTGGGGTGCGAAAACTACGCTTTCAGTCGGTACGGCGCTCAGCAATTTGCTTCAGAATCGATCAGTGTCAACGGATCAGGTGCAAATCGTCTTTCGCACAAATCACGGTCAGCAGTACACTTGTGTCTATCTTTTGAGAGTTTTGAGCTGGAAGTGAGATCTGCTGCCTTTTTCACGACTGTTTCATGCTCGTTGTATTGCCAAGACCTCCCCTTACAGATGTGTTATTGAAGATTTTCATTCGATTTGCATATACATCAGGAACAGGGCTCGGCACAGGGTATTGGGTCAAGCTGGGTATCGTTTTTTGGTACAAAAGCGAAAGGGATATTGTTTTTATGGCCGAAAAGACAAAAATTGCGAGGTTTTTTGGTCGACATTTCTTTTTAGAGGGTTTTTCTTTACGTTTTCGGGTGTAAGATCAAAGACTTCGTTTTAAAATTCCCCTGGTGCCAGCTCGTGCCGAGCCCTGGTCAGGAACCCCCAACTCATTCATGTCCATGGCCCACATTTTCGACAATGGCTATTATCACCTTCCTTTTATCTCTTTGTTTCAATGCTTTCACTGTATATAGGTCATAATTATAGGTCATTTTGTTGCGTGCTTTGCAAACATCTAAATGAAGATTAATTGAAGAACGGACGTTTGTGGAAGTTCTTGGTGAAAAGGGCGGCGAGGAGGGGATGTTGATGGACGAGCATCTATACTGACACACGCGTGCCTGTTTTCGAACTTTCCTTTGAAAAACCAGGTTCAGCCTTCAGAATGAAAAAAAAGGTGCTTAAACTTCCCTGTTTTCCTAATTGGAAGATCCGCTACTTAGTGTGACATGATAATCAGGATGTTCTGTACTCCGTACTAGGCATGTGGATTGATATGGAATGTTTTAACATAGGTTCCGCTTCTTGGCATAAGAGTGTGATGAACAGTGAACATTCTAGGTTGGTATCGAGCCTTTCTGCGTTGCGCTCTTCGAAACTCCCTTCTCCCAAAACGCAGCGGTGGGCGGCGCACTTTATAATTGACCTTGGATTCAGCTTTGCAAGATGTATGAAGTTCGGTTAGCTAAAATGTAGTTTGTGCTGTTTCTATAGTCACGATTTTCATTAGGGAAGTAATTTAGCTCACGAGGTTTTCAAAAATGATAGATGAATGGTGAAAAAGGAAGTCCTTTGGCAAGTTTTCACTCCGAACTTGTTTATTTATAAATAGCTCAATTGCGTGACTTCCTTGATGCTATAGTGACTGTTCTCTGTTCTTGTATTTTTGCGTGATTCGGACAGTGATTTGGTTGGTTGGATTGTATTTATGGTCAGGGTCAAGCGTGGGGTGCGGCACGCCACACCTGGGGGTCGTATTGAAAAGTCAAAAGGGGAGGGGGTCGTAGTTGGGTAATCCGATAATAGTGATAACATGATATTCGTATCATATCCATAATTAGCATGTCAATTAACCCCTGTAGACAAAGTGTAGCTAATTCTGAAGATTCAAGATACTAGGCTACCTAAAATGAAATGGTCAAATTCCAACATGGTTAACTTTTTTTCAAAGGTGAATTAGCTATCCGTTTTTGCACTCAAGACAAAGCACTACTCCTTCTTTGTCCACCTCAGAATTCCGCTTCAGAAGACCTGCAAACTGTGGAATTAGAAGCCAACCAAAATCTCGTTTTTCCCATTTTTCGCTTTTGATCGCTGTGCTTTCAGCAAATATTACTTAGAGCTAAGAAGACAAATCAGGCTCCAAACAGTCCTATAAAATCTACAAGGTTTAGGCTATCGACTCATAAAAATACTGTCCGCTAAAAATGTTTTTTTGATATAGTTAATGGGGTGCGGCACACCCCCTTAACTTGCCTTCAAAATCCAGAAAGCGCTCCATTGCTGGTATGAGTATTGAGCACATAGCTGCTTCTTGCTACATTGGAAATTTGGAGCCGAACGCCCCACCCATAAGAAAATTATGGCCCTTTCAATATGGCCATTCAGATCAAAATCAGCCGTCAAATTACGTGTGATTGTAAAGTGCAGTCACAAAAAATCGGGCGTACACCTCTCAGAAACTGAAAACTCATTAGGAAAGGATGGTGTCCTCCAGAATGTCACACTTTGAGGTCCAGAGGTTAAGAGGAGGAGGAAGGGATCGTTTGAGGGCTTTCATGGGAGGGGAAGGGTTTTCGAAAGACTTGTGCCTGACCTCTTTCTCAACTCTGGTAATGCTATCTTAGGTAGTTCAGGGGGGGGGGTCTTATTAAGACAGCAATCAGGGGGTGGGGTTCGTAACCAGCGATCGTGTGCCACACCCCTTGCTTGACCCTGTTTATGGTAATGGCAGTTACTGCAAGTTTTTGAGAGAGTTCTCCTCAATGTCAAATCAAAATAAACATCATAAAGGCGGGAAAGAGGAAAAGGAGGAGGGGCAGAAGAGAGCGAGGTACGTATGAAGTGTACAAAACATAGTATCGAAATTTTATTTCTTGTCCGCGATATCAGTACTTTTTATGAAAATCGAGGCAAAAATTCGAAGCATAGGATTTTGACACCCACATCTCCAGCTTTTACAATCGTTGTGAAACTCCCATATGCTCCAATCATTAGTATACACATACTTACATATAGTCCCCTCCACAGATCGTGCTACCCTTGGTCTGCGTCTCTGTCAGACCTGCCACGTGTGGCTAACATAATGGCAACGTGGCGACAACATGTTTGAAACATGCCCCAACATGTTGGCAGAACATTTTGACCACGCCAACATGTTGCGCTGCATGTTGCCAACGTGTTGCTGCCAACGTTGCCAATGTATTAGTCACACGTGGCATGTCCGCGACGCCACAAGGGTAGCACGATCTGTGGAGGGGACGATATGTACATGTACAGTTTGTATGGAATTGAGCTTGAACAACAACGAAAAGGTAATAAAGAAGTGGACAACTCCGGCCCCATCATTCTTGGGCTCCTCCCACTTGCTTCAATATTATCTACAGGCGAAAGAGTGCAGCTGCAAATCTTAGAGGATGTGCACGCATTAGGGTCCGAGAAGTAGCTACCCGAAGATGTCCGCAAACTTTTGAGCCAACCTTAACTCCATTTGCGATACAGCGCGAACCATGCGGGACGAATGCCTTTCTGTCTAAATTTGGTTAAAACAAAGTGGTCAGCGCGGTGCACTGGGCACGCTTCGCAATCGCCGAAAGGTTTCCTTAGTCGCATACCAGTGGGGGTTCCGTGGAACATTTGGGGAAGCACCGGAGCTTCCCCCGGTGAGTATCCCGTTTGTTCCCCGGAACCTCCCCAAATCTGTTTCCGCCAGGAAAAAATTGAATCAGCCCTAACAAGGCAAGGATACTCGGTCACCGTGGCCAGGAATGCGATGTAAATCGTAAGATGCACCTCGAAACGCTAATTCCAAATCTGTGCTCGATATGTGCGAAACGATCTTCTGTAGAATCATAGAAAATTTGCGTACTTTTGTGTGGTTAAAATCACCAAATTTGTACTAAGTTACCATTTGAAGCTACTGAAGAGAATTATAAAAAAAACTGTTGTATTATACCTATCTAAATCATATTCAGCATTTGAAGAGGAAAGAAAATTTTTATTGATGATTTTGAACCTCCGCAGTAACGCAGTTTATTCATGGAAAATAGCCATAACTCCATACAGATTATCGTTCCGCAGATATGGAAGACAGTATTCGAATCAGCATTAAAAGGTGCATTTTTTGATGTACAAATCATTATGAATGGCCGCGGTGACCAAGTATCCTTCCCTTGTAAGAATGCTCTAAAATTCCATTTATAGCTCTCAAATTCCATTCTAAAATAGGGAACACTACTAGACATAATACATTCGTTCATGATAAAAAAAAACGCAAGTTCTGTACATATAATCGTAACTGTCGAGCAATGGAATCGAGGCAATCACACAAATAAGTGACATAGGGTGGTAAATAAGACAGTAGGCACACGAGGTAATCGAAGATTTCGATGTCTCCATGCGCCAGAGGCCTGGCACAGCAGGAATAGCGGGGGGGGGGGCATATGTCCAAATGGAATGCAACCTTAACATGAATGCCCTTGTCTTCACTCGAACAGTTTTGAATTCCCATGAGCCCTGAACATTCAGTAAAATAAACAACTTGGTTATGAACAACATATGAGAAGCGGGCAGGCCACTCACTTTAGAAAATTTGGGAGTGGTAACTGGATGATCTTACTGGTACTAGGTGACACAAAGTTGCTTGTCTCATCCTTGCTTTGTTACCCCCTGAAGAGCAGGCAACATGGGGGAGAATCTTGGAAAAGGTTTCAGAAATAAAGAAGATGTCAATGGTGTAGAAACATCATTTGGTGTTATTTGTAGATTTTTTTTCGATTTCCGATTATACAGGGTGTCCCAAAAAATGCCTACTGTTTGATTGTTAATAACTCTTTTGATTTAAAATCTTTCAAGAAGCTTTGAGCCCAGTACTGTAGAGCTGGCTTCAACTTAGATTTACGGTATAGAGCGAATCACCGATCGCTCTTCATTATTGAGGGATTACGGTAGAAAAGTTTCGTATGTGGTGACATTGTAAAAAAAGCTGCCGTTTCAAAAATTTTCAAAATGTGAAAACTCGTGTAATAAGGTTTTCGTGGACGCTGAGTTTAATGCTCAATTATGTACAAGATTGCGAAGCTTTTCAAACTTGTAACCGCACTTTTTAGGAACATCAAGACGGCAGCTACTGCTTACCTCGCAAAATTTTTTAATGAAGCATCCTGATAAGTTGCGAACATCAGATTTAGAATCAGCAACTCTAATTAGCCCAGTGTGAAAGTTTTCAGGCTGCTTTATTTCCTTTTTAGGGCAGAATAGGCCTTTCATGGATCAAAACCCTCTTTGAAGTTTCTACTGTAATCCTACAGTAATTAAAAGAGATGGGTGACTTCTTCTATACTGTAAATCTAAGTTGAAGCTAGCTCTACAAAATGATACCTAAAGCTCTCCAAAGACTTCATTACAAGAGAGTTATTTAAAGTCAAACAGTAGGCACATTTTTTTCGGACACCCTGTATTATTCGAAGTCGAATATTCGAATATGGGCACATTCCAAAATTCGAATTTTCGAGTATTCTAGCCGAACTTGATCAAATTGACTATCCGCGTAATCGAATAATCAAGTAATTGGATATCATCGAGTATTCGGATATTCGATATTCGAAAATTTAGTGCAGTATTCGAGTAAGCAGAAAAGCTCGCATATGCAAAATGCGAATAAACATTTTTGAATAATCCTATATTACTTTTCTCATGCTCCAATATTCGAATATTCAAACAATTTTTTTCAAAACTTCCCAAGT